GAAGATGTAGATGAGGAGGAGGAGGGGGAAGAGGAAGATCGGGACCCCAATCTTCCTCTTCCCCCTCCTCCCAATCTACATCTTCCCTCTCCTCCTGATCTTCATCTTCCTCCTCCTCCTCCCCATCGCCCTCTTCCTCCTCCTCCTCCCCCCCCATCGCCCTCTTCCTCCAGGCCATCTTCCATCTCCTCCCGAAAGTCGACGTACAACCCAGCCAGTATGCCTGAACGGTACACCCATGAACTGTTCCTAAACGGTGCCCTCTTCCCCTCTTCCTACAGGAAGAGGAGGAGGACGGGGAAGAGGACGATGGGAAGGAGGAGGAGGAAGAGGGCGACGGGGAGGAGAGAGTCCACTTACCAGCGATGGCTGCAGCAACAGGCATCCACAAAGATGGCGATACCAGCATTTCGACGAAGAGGGCACGACAGCAGCAACGATGGACGAGGGCACGACGATGCACCTGCAGCAGCGATGGATAAGGGTACGACGATGACGACCTGCAGCAGTGATGGACGACGGCAAGACGATTGCTACATGCAAGAAGGCCACACACAGAACCACACCGGGGTGAAGGGTGTCGCGGGGCCGGCGAGGTGGACTTTTCGAAATCGAATTCGAAAAAGGTGGCCCGGGCGATCTCCACCCCGCCCACCGCACCCCAGCACCGAGCGCTGGACCCCGACGGTGTACCCCAACCCACCCCTAGGCCTACGGGGCCGAAACTACCCCCCCAAGCCGCCTGCTATCAACACGTACGCTGGCCCCTAAAACAGGTACGCGTGTACACGTACGTGGCATGTACGCGCGTACGTGCATACACGTATGCGCGTATGCCGAGCACGCGTACATGTACGCGGTGCTACCCAGGTAAGAAGGAACTAAGGAAAAGGAAAAGAAAAAGAAAATAAAACGGGAAATGGGAAGAGTTGCGTGTCAAATTTGTGTCACGATCCCGACCTTGGTTTGCCCTGATGGATCGGAGGGTCGCAGATTGTCATGACGAGTAACTTTCTGCAGGTGAATCCTGAACGTCCTTTTAATTTTAGACTTGACCATTTTTTTTCTTTTTTTTTTCGCTCCCCTTTGTCGTTTCGTGGGGGGAACGAACGGCTCGTTTTCGAAAGAAAGATTATCCGACCTTTGCATTCTAGCCACCGGAAACTTATCTAGCGAGGTGCAATCAGTATAGAGCCTCAAAACGGGAGCACCCGCGACCTCGTCGGTAGGAGGCTCATCATCTCGTGGGAGGTCATGAGCCCCCTCCTTGCCATCGGACACGAGTACCTATCAAGAGTGGTCTGATAGCCTCCTTTGAAGAAAGGAGCGAGACAGTCGGTACTCAAGTATGGCACCACTTTGTGTTGATTACTTATGATGACCGTTGTTTATTTTTACTATAAAAAGGTTAGGCTATTATTTTTAATACATGTCGATTTTATTTGTTTTTTTTTTACGGATATGAAAGTGATCCTAAGTGTCCCGTTTAGAACACTGGTAGCTCAACAGGTCGCGATCTTATAAAAGAGGGGGAAGTGGTCGCACTTTCACTATTGGACGATTAGTTTGTGTTCTGCGGTCCGGACAGCCGAGTTAAAAATAGTGAAACTCAAGTTACGACCAGGTTTGAGTCAGAACGCCAGGAGCCTCGGGTGTATTGGGGAGAAGCTGGCCACCGCTGCGGTGTCGGGTACTGCCTACTACTAGGTAAAAATGGCTATTGCGTACCGGAATGGGTTGCACGGCTACAGGCCAAGGTACATGAGGTATTCTTGAACCTGGCATTGAGAGGATGAGAAAGGTGCGCTGGTTGCGGCGATACTCTCCTACGAGATACCTAAGGCGGAAGTGAGGTTGAAAATCAACGAGTGTGGCCATCGGGATCAAGAGATGAGGAGAGACGAGGGACTACATGCACCTATTACTGAGGCGTGCAACAGAGCTGAACGGAGCTGCAGGCGAGACGGAGTGACTGCAAGTTCTGCAACTATTCGAGTAACAGTCACTTACCATGAGGATGACTCGTGAACTGGGACTACGACCAGGAAGGAGCAACACCTTGACCAAAACTTTGAAGGGGAGTTTGAAATGAGTAACGCAGAGGTGACCCCATCTTGGCACAGATGGGACCAGTGGCGCCGAGATCATCCGTCAACAGCACCAGTTGAGGAAGGCCCGGAGTGAGAGAGACCAAAACCGCTAGGCAGTCACGGGCAGAAGTCAATCGCGATTGAAAAGTACGGGATCAGGAGCAAGGTCTTTTCTGAGCGGGCAACCCAAAAAAAGCTCTGCACGCGCTTCTCAAAAAAACAGTGAGTGATCAGTGTGACAAGTACTAGTCATCTCGTGTGTAAGAGTCAATCAATGAACAGGAGACAAAAGAGAACGAGAAGGTTACGTGCGATAAAGGAGGTGGACGGGCACGCTGTGAGGGATCCGTATGAGACTAGTGTGTCACCATCCTAGTTTCTTTCATGCTCGGAAAGAGGACGGTGAAGAACGTGTGTGAACCTAAAGGTACACGCGGGAGAGAAAAGTGACATTTCTAGTAATGATGACAGCTAAGCGATGACTGGGTTCATCCCAGATCATTTTTATGATGTCCTTCTGCGAGCTCGTGTGCATTTGCCCAGAGGGCAGAGCCTTTGGCTTTCTGAGCACGGTCAGTTGCTACAAGCCAGAGGGGAGTAGGTGTTTTTGTTCTCGCTCAAGGAAGACTGGCAGTGGCGGACCCGATGTCGCACTTTTTTTAGTCGGGCCTCTTCAGGATACCAAAAAAACAACAGGCTATCACACAAGATTATATTAATGTTTGCATTAAATAAAATAAATTAATTTAAAAAAATCCCTTCTTGTTGTGTGTGCCCGGTTTCGAGCAAGACCCTTCAATCGCGGTCTTCGTCAGTCCCCGGTCTTAAGAATCTTTTATTTGATTCGGAACATCAAGAATCATGCAAATATTAATAATAAAATTCGGGTATGTTATGCATGTATCAAGTTTGCCAATTTTTTAATTTTAAGAATTGTGATAGTATCATCAGAGAACATGATCATCAAACACAACAATGTTCAACAGAAAAAATGTGGGCATTTTTGGGGGGGGGTTATCAAATGTGTGCACCCCTTTTAAACTGTTGGTTTCGTGTTCATAAACAGTTTGGCGGGGGTGGTGTCATGTGTTCCACCAAAAGTGAAGCAACTCAACGTTGATAACATATGTCATAAACATGCGACACTGTGTTCAACACTTGTTCAATTGTTGAAAAACTATTGAAAAGTTGTTGAAAAGTTGTTTACAAGTTGTTAAAATGTTGTTGAAAATGTGATGATCAACTATTGAACATTGCAGATATTGTTGGGAATATTTGAGAGAGAGAGAGAGAGAGAGAGAGAGAGAGAGAGAGAGAGAGACCTGTTACTATTGATCACCTTCATCTTAGTCTGTGTACCTCCCTATCAATCTTGAATGTAGCGCCATGGGCAAATGTCCGATGAATGTGAACGAAATTGACACGCGGGTTGGCTACCGGGTGCCAATTTCCAGCATCACTTCCATGATTGACAAGAACATGACACGCAGTAGTCAACCAGTCCTGTACTTCTCACCCAACATTAATATGAACATGTTTTGTAGTGTTTTGTGATATCATATTCAATATTTTTGGAAGTGGGTAATGCGTTTTCAGCTTATTTTTGTCAAACACGATTCATGTTCTTGCAAAATCATACGTTGACATTTTCTGACCCACATTACACATGACGCATTGCGTATCCTTGCAAGACAAGCAACAATGTGTACGCTGAATTGATAGTGCATAATGTGAAATGCGAAGCGCAAATGCTACGTGATGGTCGAAACACATCCACGCCAGGTCTTGTACAAGACCATTTGTTAAATAACACATATTTGCTTACTGTACACTCAACCCAAATGGTTCTTCAGAGTCTTTTTTTTTTCAAATAATAACTCTCTCACTCACTCACTCTCTCTCTCTCTCTCTCTCTCTCTCTCTCTCTCTCTCTCTCTCTCTCTCTCTCGTTTTACGCTTTGGTCGTCATTGGCTGTGTGTCATTCCACTGAGCGTCAGTGGAGGTGCAGCTCATGTCCCCTCCAACACCATCGCCCACCTTCCTCCCCACCCTGGCCTTGTTCCATCCCCAACCCCCCTCGATCCACTTCCRTACCCCTKCTTCTCCTTTTCACGGCCTTGCGGACAAACTTTCTTCGTCTCTCTCTCTGCCTGCACATTTGTCCACGGTGTGCGCAATGAACTCAAGGTYAAAATCATCATCTGTTSTTGTCATGTTATTGRCATCTCCTCTYTGCACAGGAGGCAACCMAGCTCTGTACAATGCGAYGRCCTTGTCTGCAACAGAAACARCACGGTCRARCTTGAAGATAGAAAAGCTTAAGACCGTGTCTCGGGAGCRRACCGATGCAACGATCTCTTTCTTGATAGCTGCAAGTTTCTGTATTTGGTCCGCGGCTTTACTGGTCTTTGCTGTCTGCTCGACTTCACTTTTTAGTACCAGCTCCGCAAATGCAAGTTGCTGCAACGTTACGCCAAGGTTGATCGCATCTCTTCTCATTTGAAAAACTTTTGTCAGTGCTGTCTTGAAAGGAGGAGCACCCCACGGATAATTGCCTCTCCTTCTCCATGTTGTGTCCCCCTTCATCTGTGCCCGCATCCTGTTGCGAGTCGGAAGTTGGTGATCCGTTTGAGCTGACCGGACCAGCGTCAGACCTTTTTCGGCCCAAAACCAATGCTTCAATTGCCATGATATCTCCCCTCGGACCGTTGTCATAATCCGATTGCATTCCCCGATCACAGCTCGGATTCCGTTCGTTGCCACGTGCAACTTTAGTCCTTTCTCGGCATGTTCTCCTATCAATTTGGCAGTTGTTTGCAGTGCCGTGAAAAAATTGTCCTCCGATGGGTACAGCGTCGCATCCTTTGCTGCTGAAAAAGCAAAGACCTTCGCAACACGGGCCCGCTGTCCCGATGTCCGACAACAATTTGTTGCACACATGCGCTGCACAGGGAAGCCACGTAATCCGTCTGTACTCAGGCCGCATGTGAGGATGGGCCAAAGCGTTGCCTGCCTTTACGTAGACAAACGCAGAGTCTGTGCAAATGACGTTAACCCTGTCGGGACCGAAGTCGTGCAAAACTGATATCCACCTCCCCAACATTGCGAGCGCATCATCTTTCTCACCCTCCCTGTTGAAGGTGCGATACATCATCACTCCTCGAGCACCAGCTGCAAGGAAGTTCACGATGGGTTTCCCATTACGAGACTTCCTACCATCGGACATGATCGTCGCCCCTGTGCGGTCAAACGGCTCCTGTATGTCTTTGAGAACCGCAACAACGTCCGTCGCCGTCTCAAGCACTGTGTCCATCGATGCGACTTCGTTTTCAGAAAGCCAAACCATGGGGACTGAAGCAGGTTTGTCCCTGAAGTGTGCAGTGTATGCCTTCCACGTCGGGCTCCAAAAGATGTTGAAGGGAAGCTGGTTGTTGTACACGAAGCGCAACCACAACTTCCTGTGTTGAGCATCCCAGTCAGACCCGAACACCTCTTTTATCGTCGGCTGCCTCATCTTCTTCCCCTGCTGCATCGTCGCACCAACCACATCCTTCCTCTTCCCTGAATTCGAACCACCCTCATCGATCGGCAGCTTGCCTAGGCGCTGTGAGTATGCAGCCTCGACCTCCCCCTCAACCCCTGCGGCCCCGCAATCCTCTCCCTCGCCATCCAAATCGACGACGTCATCGTCCTGTTGTCGTGCTCCGACTGCGGCGTTGGATGTCGCCCGCGCCTGCGCCTGACCCCCGTTTGTCCTCCTCTCGTCCACCCAAGGACCGTGAAGCTCCTCGTACTGGTGGATAAGCTCCAACCACTTTCCCTCAAATGCGTAACCGCTCGTGTAATGCATCTCCATAAGAGCTTCGTCGGTCACCTGCGAACATCCCTTTACGCTACGAAAATGTCGCGCCGCCCCATGCCTGTTCCCCTGCCAGTCGTTCCCGCAGAACATGCACCGAAGCATCCTTTGACCACGGAGCTTCTCAGAAAGCTCCTGGCCAACGAGCACATATTTGTAAATGCAGTTTGATTTCTTCATGCTCGTCTGCGTGTCGTCGCTGGCCTGGACGAAGGTGTTTACTTGACGCTTCGACATTGTGGCCGCGCCAGTCGACCCGTAAGAAACAGCCTTCAGCAAGGCTGCGTTCACCCTGTTCCCAACCCTCAACTACCTTCGAAATGCCACCCGGTCCTCCCGAACAACCTGTTCCCGCCGCTGTGGCACTGCCAGCTCGTCGCCGCTGCCAGCCTGCCTCCGCCAACACGTCGTCGGTCCACCTGCTAAGCGCGCGTGCAGGCGGTCCACACCGGCTAGGGGACAGCCTGTAGCACCAGGGAATATGCCCACCCGAATCCCTTTGCCCCCGCTCCCCGCCACCCTCCCCTCCAGCGCGCCGCACAGCCTCTCCCGTGGGCCACACAGGCTAGGGGATAGTCAATGGCAGCAGGGACCATGCCCACCCGAAGCCCGGCGCCCCTGGTCCACGCCGCCCTCCCCTCCAGCGCGCGGCACGGCCTCTGCCGTCAGCGCGTGCTCAAAGATTCCAGAGCGCGTTTATTTTTTTCATCGCGCGCTGAAATCTTTGAGCGCGCGCTAAAAGATCCGGCTCCCGCTCGCGCGCTTGTCGTCGGCCGTCGTCGTCGCCGTCGCCGTCGCGTGCAGCGTTCTCTCTCTCTCTCTCTCTTTATATATATATATATATATATCGTTCCCGCGCGCACACAGTTCTCTCTCTCTCTCTCTCTGGCGCGCGCTCCGACCTTGGGCGATGGCGACCTTCTCTCTCTCTCTCTCTCTCTCTCTCTCTCTCTCTCTCTCTCTC